CAATTGCTGGGTTGTAGTATAGTTCTATTTTTAAGTTTTTGAGGAACCTCCATACTATTTTGCAGAGTGGGTACACCAGTTTGCATTCCCACCAGCAGTGTAACAGGGTTCCCCTTTCTCCTTAGCATTAAATATTATCATAAATATCATCTACCATATTTATTAATGGCTACCAACTATGGTACAAAGTAAGTAAGAAGAAAAGTGAGTCACCACCCATTTGCACTGATCTAGTGAGAATCTGTTTCAGTGGGGAGCTGGGAGACATTTGCTTACCTTATCTATGGAAAGGAATAGAGTCTTCGGGCATAGGGTGAGTGTTGTTTCACAACCTACTTTTTCTCATGCTTTAAAAATCTGGAAGCTTAGTTAGATCCAGTCTTAGTTTTCTGCTCTTAGTTCAGTTTTATTACACATTTTATGATTCTCTATTTCTTAATTCTTTTGAATATAGTTGACACACAATGTTACATTAGTTTCAGGTATGTAACAGTGATTTGGCAAGGTTATACATTATGTTATGCTCGGATTTGACAAGTTTATACATTATGCTTTGCTCACCACAAGTGTAGCTCTTCTTGATGGAAAATGAGAAGAGTTAGTTGTCCGCCTTAAAATACTCAGTCTGGGGTCTCTAGGACAGACAGAGTCTGGCTGAAATTCCTCATGACCTGGCCTCAGTCTTTACCTAAAGAATTATAGTTTCTACACAAATGAAAGTCACGATCTAAACATTAGCTCACTTGTTTTGTTCATTTCATATAATAAATGCCATTAAGAACTAAAACCTTCAAAAACTGAAAAGATCATTGAGCTGTATTCAGTCACCTGTACTTGATTTCACCAGTAGTTGTCCCAACCAAATCTTTGCTATGCTACTGGTCATTGAGAGAGGTTTGGAAACTCCCACAAAGGTCCATAGAATGCAGTTAGAATGCCATGTGTTGTGACTTCTTGGGGCTTACTTATTTGAAGGCCTTTTTGACTTTCTGCACTTGGCACAGCAGAGTGGACTCTTTCCCTCGAGCTGTGTCCTCTGAACTTCCTTGTTCACCACTGCACCTGTCTCACAAACCAAGCACTCAGTTTCACCTTTCAATCTATTCTGCCTTCATAAATGTAGTTCCCTTTCTTGAATACCATTATTTGTGGTCATCTTCTTACCTAAATCCTCTACACTAAAATGTACCCTCCTGTTGCTTTATTCCAGAGCCAAAGCTCTTCTGTAGGTGCTGTTCCTTATTTGCTCTGCAGTTTGATGTGTCCGTTAAACAATCAGTCTGAGGTCACACCCTGTGCCAGCATTGTGCTCGATGCTGGGCACACAGTGGAAATGAGATGCAGTCCTTGTCCTCCGCCAACTTGTGGCTTACTAGGTGGAGAGACTGGTGAGGCAGCCACGTATGCTATAGTGAGAAAAGCACAGCAATGGGAGTAATTTGGGAGTAACTCAGAGTAGACTTGCCCTGTAATGGTTTTCTGTTTCATTATTTTCAGTACATTTAGGAACAGACTTCTTGTTAACAGTTTATTGGCTATTTTGTCTTTGGGGTTTGAAATATGTTAATAATTTCCTCTCATGATTTTGTCTTTTAGTATAGAGCCCCTGATCCGTTCTGAGGAACACCTGGTATCTGAGATGAGCCATAAGAATCTAGGTTTTTAAGATTTAAAAAATTATGTTTTCATTAATAAAGCACTAAAAACAGAACAATAACCTTTCTAAGCAAAAGAACCATTGTTCATCTGTTTACTCAGCAAACCTTTGAGTGCCAGCCACCACCCCCCATCTTGGCAAAACCCCTATTTCAGTGGAAGAGGAAACATTCTGAACCATCCTCCAGACTCCCTGGGTACTCACCATTCACCTGTTGCACAGACAGTTGGCCAGTACGAACTGACAAAAGAAGCCGTAAGGGAGCCTCTGCTGCTTTGGAGGGAGTATATGACTCTTCCCTGCCTTTGATTTAGGAATCAAGGAACCACAGGAGGCTCTGTGGCGGAGCTACAAGCTGATGGTCTGACTTTTCTTAATCGACCTAGAGTTTTGCTTCCATTAAGGATCATTTCTTCCTCTTTCCTTCCCTTCTTCTCTTTCTCCCCACTCCCTGCTCCTTCTCTCGCCCTCTTTCCCTCTCTCCCTCCTAAGAACTTCACCCCGTGGCCTCCCCTGTCCCTCTCCTCCCACACAGTCACTGCCTGAAGTGTTTTTGCCTCTTTAATTATATTTTTCACTGGGAAAGGGACCACTTCAGTTTCCTTCTTGGTCGCCTGTGTAATATTGTAAGCCTAATTCGGCACTTAGAAACACCTAGGTTTGCCTTGTAGCTTCTTCTCCAGAATGTTACACATCCTAAGAGCAGAACATTGCAGATTTTACTTCTTTGCTGCCCCTTCACCCTCTCTCCAGATGTTAAAATAGGAGGGGCTCTTAAGGCTCTGGCCTGACCCCTTCTTTCCTCTCTCCCAAAGCTGTCTCCCCAGATCATCCATTCTGTTTGTGTGTCATAGATACTTGCATTTATTATCTGAGTGCTGTTTCCTTTTGAGCTTCACAAGGGGAAGTGAGTCCACTTCCTGCTTGGATGTCATCCTCTGGGGTGTCTCAAACATAAAATGTCCACCTGTAACTGTCTTTCCCCCACCAGGGCTCCCATCTCAGGAAGCCTGGGAGTCTCCTGCAGCAGCCCCATCTTCCTGGTTGTTAGGGTCACTGGACTCTAGAATAGGACTGTCAGGCTCCACTGCCATGTCCCCAGTTTAACCACTGATCTTCCCTATTTGGACGGCCTCAGAGTCTCATCAGCTTTGCTTCCAGCCCATTCTCCACTGTGCAGCCAGAGCAGTCGGTGCCACCCTCCTGTGTCTCCAGCGATTGCTGCACTGCCTGGCACATAGTGAGTGCTCTGTACCTACTCTGTGAACCATGGATTGCGTTCAGGTGTTTAACACCATCTCCCACTTAGCTGTTCTCCTCTGGTGGGCTTTTTGTTGTATAATTATTAGTCTGCTTCTGGCATTATCCTGTGTTGCTATTGACGGATTCACGTCATTTAACAAAGTTCTCCCAATCAGTCAGTTAGTTGCCCTGCTTCTCAGGAACTTCCCAAAGTGCAGCCTCCTCCCCAAAAACCTAATAATGTCATCATTAGATGTGGATTCTACCTTTTCTTTCTTCACCTTTCCTATCTCATATTCCTGATAATCTTTATTTCTGTATTTTTGTTAGCATTGTTTTCCCACACATGCCTTTTTAAATATTACATAATATTTAAGACTCTATAGACATTATAAGTATGAAAAGTTTAACACTGTGTAGATTTCATCTGTTTTAGAATGCAAGTTCTTAAAAATTCATACAGGATTCATTTCATTTGTTTCTTTCTGATAACAGTAGTTCCACTTTGTAAATGTGTTTGATAAGCTATAGAAACAATAATTCCCTGGTTCAGAGAAGTGTAAAACCTGATGATAAACAGAAGGGAAACTTTAAAAGGAATTCTTACTTGTGACCCAATGTAAACAAAGCACTTTTGGGTATTTCTGATATCTGTCTTTAAGCTAAGTTATGCCAATTTATAAATCCTGTTATTTGATTTTATTTTCCAACTTCAGCTGAAATTATTTCATTTAAAAATGGTTTATCAGGGGCACCTGGGTGGCTCAGTTGGTTAAGCGTCCAGCATTGGCTCAGGTCATGATCTCATGATTCGTGGCTTCCAGCCCTGCATCAGGCTCTGTGCTGACAGCTCAGAGCCTGGATGGAGCCTGCTTCCGATTCTTGTCTCCTCCTCTCTCTGCCCCTCCCCTGCTTGGTCTCTCTCTCTCTCTCAAAAAATGAATAAACATTAAAAATACCTTTTTAATGATTTATCAAGTCAAGACCACAGTGAAAATACCATTTCACACCCGTTAAGATGACTATTAAAAAAATAATAAGTGTTGGCAAGGATAAGAAAAAATTGAAACGCTTTTGCCTTGCTGGTGTGAATGTAAGTGGTACAGGTATTATGGAAAAGTAGTATGGTGATTCCTCAAAAAATTAAATGTAGAATTATATGGTCCAGCAGTTCCACTTCTAGGTACATACTCAAAAGAATTAAAAGCAGAGACTCAGACAAGTATTTGCCCACCAGTGTTCACAGCAGCAACATTATTCACAATAACTGAAAGGAGGAAAGAATTCAAATGTCCATCGATGGAAAAATGGATAAACAAAATGTGGTCTGTTGTGTAGTGGATGATTATTAAGCATTAAAAAAGATAGAAATTTGGACAGATGCTACATATGTAGATGAATCTTGAGGATAATATGCTAAGTGAAAAAAGCCAGAACAAAAAGGTAAATATTGAATGATTCCTAGAGTAGTCAAATTCATGGGGACAAAGGAAAATGATGGTTGCCAAAGGCTGGGGAGCCTGGGGGTTGTTTAGTAATTGAAATTTTAATTTAGGATAATGAAAAAGCTCTGGAAATATAGATGGCTGGTGATTTTACAACAGTGTGAATATACTTAATACTACAGTACTATATGCTTAAAAATGGTTAAATGGTAAATTTTATATATATTTTAGCACAATAAAAAATAGGTTTATCAACATTGCATGTAAATCTACACTTGCCTCTAAATAAAATGTTTACAGATAGAAACATAGGTTTGTTCCATTTACATTGTTTGTGGAAATTTATATTGTTGTTTGTTAAATTTATATTGATATCATAGTTGGTAGAGTCAGAAATTAACCTGTGGTACCTGGAATTTATTCCTGCCTCAGAGTCTTTTAAGATACAGCTACATCCACACTGTTCAATTACAGCATGTGTCTATTTTACATCAGACTAGCTTAGCTTTTTGACTTTTTAAAAATAAGTATGATCAGCTGATAAATCTGTTTAAAGACTGGTGAAAAGGAGTCAGACAGTTTTAGAATTTATGTGTGTAGCAGGTAGGACAAAACAACTCAAGTCCTTTACTTCTGGCATTTTCATGTCTTCCCAGGTATACCTTGAAAGACTTTTAACGTATGCAGAGATAGACATCTGTCCGGCCAACTGGAAGCGGATTGTTCTAGGAGCGATCCTGCTGGCCTCCAAGGTTTGGGATGACCAGGCTGTGTGGAATGTGGATTACTGCCAGATCTTGAAAGACATTACAGTGGAGGACATGTGAGTGTGTATATTGGGGTCAGGGAGTGAGGCACTGTTTGGGAAGGAACCATATCCCTTCTGAATAGTCTGTATGGTATGGAATGAATGAATTTGACTAAATGTCCCTTGTGAGCAGGCACAACAAAGACAGTTGTGGAATATTACACACAAAAACCTGTACTCCTCTTCTTTGGGACCGTGAGCAGGCACTGGTTACACTTTTTGATTTTGTGAAACTAATTTCTGAAACTATATTAATATTCTAGGCAAACATTCTTTTACCTTAATTTTGAAAGGTGTAGACTAGGGTGCTTGGGTGGCTTAGTTGGTTAAGCATTCGACTTTGACTCATGATCTCATGGCTCATGAGTTTCAGCCCTACATCAGGCTTTTGCTGTCAGCACAGAGCAGGCTCTGTCTGCCTGTCTCTCTGCCCCTCCCCTACTCTCTCTAAAATAAACATTCAAAATAATAAACAAACAAGACAGGTGTTGATTAATGCCATTAGCAGTCTGTGATGGATTTTGTTCTGGCTCTGTATCGCACTGCAGAGTGAGAACAATGTCCAACACCAGTAGCCTAACCCAAAAAACAGAACAGCTAAATATTATCTGTTTCTGTGTAGTTTCAGAGAGAATTTGCAAGTTCAGTTGCTTAAAATCAGCATTCTGTTCTTGAGGCCTCTCATGTGTCTCATTAGGGCTGCATTTCTCCCCCAGCTGGTCTCAGAGCCCCAGCTCAGTGGAAGTGTTACAAGCATCGAGGGTGGGGGGCGTCCACCCCTACAGCTCTCAGGGCATCCTTAGGATTTCCCAGATGGTTCAGTCCGTAGATTGAGATGAGGATTGTTAACAGGAGACCTTGCAGACCTATAATCTGGGATTTCTGGGGTCTGTGAATACAGGAAATAGGTTTAAAGACTCTTAGAGGAGAAAGGAGCTGTTCTGGAATACAATCTGAATCAACTGTTTACAGTTCCTTATGGTTTTTAGGCACTTCTGACACTATTCTTCCTAAAAGACTCATGTTGTTTGCTCACCTTCCTTGAGAAAGCTTTAGGCTGGAGGAGGTTCCCAGCTGTGCCAGTCCACCTCCATTCCCTAGACCCAATAATCTTGAAGATGTGGGACCTTCGCGGTGCTATTATGGGGGTGTCACATGGGCACATGACCAGCCTAGAACCCTCCTTACCTCTGGTTACTGATTGGATGGCACCTCATTTTTGTGATACCCTGTGAAGCACATTTTTTATAGTCTTGGGTCTTTTATTGCAGAGTTTTTTCTTCTATAGACCTAAAAGCTCCTTCCTGTGTCTCTAATTCTTTATTATAAAAAATAAGAAAAATATAAATGAGGTTTTGATAGTAAGGAAAATTAATGTCTTGATTATATTTCAGTGTGAGAACAGCTACTAAAATAATTGTTATTCAGACCACAAAGGAGGGTGCAAGATGGTAAGAAGTGCTGACTTGTTTCCTTTATTGGGGATTACTCTCTCAACACCTTGATATTGTTTGACACTGGATTATGTGCTGTGGGAATGACGTCATGGTTTTCCTTTCTTGTTTGTGTTGATGTATGTGTAGGGAAGGAAAAAGTTTCCCTTCTTCCCCTGTTAGGTTGTTTGATCTAATAATTAAATTGATGTAAAGAAACAGGAGAAAAACGTATTTCATTTTGTACATAAAGGAGCCCCATAAAAATAAGAGACTCACAGGCAGGCAAGGGAGACTTGTCTGCCATCCTGAGCTAAGGAATGGGATAGCGCCTAGGGATTCAAAGGGGAGGAGGGCAGTTCATAGGAAGATAAAAAGAACAAATGCTTGGTAATCAGATGTTTGCCCCATCATGGCCATGCAGGCTTTTCATTTCAGGACAGTGAGCCTCAGTAAGGGCTGGTGGCGGCCTACCTTTCTTTCCCAGAGCAGAGGAGTGGGAAGGAAGGAGCCAAAAGGGGAACCCACATACTTGGTGTGTTCTTGGGCAAGTCACTTTTAAGAATGAGAAATGAAAGTTACACATCTAGAAATCTGTTCCCTAATGCAGTTGTGGTTTTAAGTGTACTCGGAGAATACCTCGTGTGTTGTAAGGGAGCATATATGCCAGTGTGAAGACCAGTGCCCCTCCGAGTGCTGTTACAGATACCCAGACTTATGGGCCAAATTGTGTTCTGTCAAAATCCTGTGTCGAAGTTAACCCCCAGTACCCAGAATGTATCTGTATTGGAGAGAGGACATTCAGGAGGTAATTAAGTTAAATGGAATCATTAGGGTGGTAGCGTAGGAAGAGGGACAGCCATGTGAGGACACAGAGATAAGATGGCCGTCTGCAAGCAAGAGAGAGGCTTTAGAAGAAACCAACCCTGCTGGCACCTTGATCTTGGCCTTCTAGCCCCCAGAACTGCAAGGAAATGAGTTCATGTTGATTAAGCCCCCCAGTCTGTGGTATTTTATTATGGCAGCTCTTGTAAACTGGTACAAATTTTGGTGCTGGGAAGTCAGGTGCTGCTGTAATAAATACCTAAAGATGCAGAACTGGCTTTGCAACTGGGCAATGGGTAGAAGCTACAAGAGTTCTGAGGCACACCTTAGAAAATCCCTAGATTTCCCTGAAGAGATTGTTGGTAGCAATGTGGTTGTTAAAGGTTGTTGTGATGAGGACTCAGGAAGAAGAGAGCTTTAGAGGAAGCCTCTCTCACCTTAGAGTATACATGTATGACCACCAACAGAATGCAGAATGTTGCTAGAAATATAAACATGAACGGTGCTTCTGAAGTGAGGTATCAGACAGAAATGAGGAGCATGCTGTTAGACACTGGGCTAAGGGTGATACTTGTTATAAAATGGCAAAGAACTTAGCGAAATTGTATTCTGGTGTTTGTGGACAGAACATTCAAGAAACAAATTGGAATATTTAGCTGAGGAGATTTCTTAAAGTTTTTTTTATTTTTATTTTTTTATTTATTTTGAGAGAGAAGGGCACAAGTGGGGCAGGGGGAGACACACACACACACACACACACACACACACACACACTGTCTCTCTCTCTCTCAAGTGGGCTCTGCACTGACAGTGCTTGGGGCTCCATCTCACAAACCACAAGACCATGACCTGAGCCGAAATCAAGAGTTGGACGCTTAATCAACTGAGCCACCCAGGTGCCCCTAGCTGATATTTTTAAGCAGAGTGTTAAAGGTACTGCCTGGTTTCTCCTTGCTGGTTATAATAAAATCTGAGGAGAGAGAAATTGAAGAAGGAATTTTTAGGTAAGAAGGGACCAGATGTTGAAGATTCGGAAAAACTCAAACTTTCTGATCTCTGCCTATCCCTTTTGCAAAAAATGAGGAAGCGTGCTCTGGAGAGAAGAGTAAGGGTGTGGGGCTGAACAGCGTTGGCCAGAGAGATTCCAAGTCTGACTCAGTGATCCAGTCCACCATCTCGGCACAAGTGTTGGCAGCTTACACTGAGGCAGACAGAGACAGGACACAATGAAGGGAGGCTGTCAGACTTCTGGGATTCTACAGGACGGACCAACAGAGCTGCCCTGCTGTGGCGTGTCATTCTTCACAAAAGGGGGGAGATGACCGTGAAGGCAGTTTGGAAACTGGCAGAGCTGCCTTTGTCACCATTGGCACAGCAGGTGCAGGTCTGGGGGCCGAGGCTGCCTCCTCCCGGCCAGGAGCAGGGGTTGCTGCCACCTCAGCAGGCTGGGTGATAGAGCATCAGCCAAAGATTATTCTCAAGAAAATCTAATGCATTTTCCCTGCTAGATTTCAGACTTGCTTGAAACCCATGAGCCTTTCCTACTTTTTGATTTCTCCCTTGTGTAATGGGAGTGGCTGTGGAAGCAGATACTTGTTTGGTTTCACAGGTGTATACCTGGAGAGGAATTTTGCCTCAGGATGAATCATACCTCCAGGCCCACCTCTACCTGATTTGGATGAAATTTAGATGAGACTTTGGACTTGGGGTTGATGCTGGAATGGAATTAAGACTTTTGGGCTGTTGGGATGGAGTGAATGTATTCTGCATGTGAGGTGGACCAGAAGGGCTGAGTGCCATCTCCCTCAAATGCATATGTGAAGGCCTAACCCCTTGTACCTCAGCATATAACCATATTTGGAGATAAAGTGTTTAAAGAAGTAATTAAGTCAGAATGAGGTTATTAGAATGGGCCTTAATCCAATATGATGTGCCCTCTAAGAGATTAGGTAACTGGCAGCAGACAGCAGGACAGTTGTGCTATTTTGTTATAGCAACCTTAGCAAACTAATACATCCAATAAACATTATTGAAAGAAGGAATGAAATCCAGTGTGGTCAAGAAGCCGTCAGGAGTGTGTGTTGCTGACCAAGCTTGTGGAGATAGGACCTTTAAGTGATTTTGTAGCGTCTGTCCAGAATTGTAGATTTACTGTTGGAACTTTTTAAAATCAGTGCTTGATCTCAGTCTTTTCCTGGAAAACTCCATGAGCTTGGGGAGAAAATGGCTCCTAGGTACCCTCTCCATGGAGAAAGAGCAGTGTGGGGTATCACTGGAGACTAAGAGCTATGGTGCTTCACAGTGTGTCAGTCTCATGTCAGTGGCTCGTCTTCACTTCCTGGCAGAGGCAGCCTGAGCTTTCCTTTGGAGCTCCTTAGTAGGAAGAGGATTCACAAGTTGCAGATGGAAGCTTTATAAAATGTGCTTTTCAGCTCTCCCTTCAGACCTCCTTTTGTCCCCCTCTGCCCCCTTCTCTTGGTTTCTGTCCTTGCCTGTGTTCTAGCATCCTGATGTGACCTTTCTGTGCACAGGTTCATTTACAGCTAAAGAGTCATCCAGCAGTAAGGAACGTGACTTAGAGTCCCTTCCACCTGTAGACAGTGGGGTTCTGGCTTGGAAGGCAGCTAACCATATGGGCAGGTGGCTGGGAACGTAGGTTGAAGCACATTGTAAGACAAGTGGCACTGAAACTTGTGGGTAGAACCCTCAGGGTCACCAACATCAGACTTGAGGCTCAGGCTGATGTGCAGCATGACAGGGCCATGGGCCAGTCTGTCTCTTTCTGTCTTGCTAACAGTAAGTGGTCACATTGTCACAGGTCAACTTTGAGCACCTAATGACAACTGCTATGGATGGGAAAGCAGATGGTGGACTTTGATAGGCAAAAATGCTGTTTAAAAAATTACACTTGGGGCACCTGGGTGGCTCAGTCGGTTAAGCAGCTGACTTCAGCTCAGGCCAGGATCTCATAGCTTGTGAATTCAAGCCCCACGTCAGGCTCTGTGCTGACAGCTCAGGGCCTGGAGCCTGCTTTGGATTCTGTGTCCCTCCCTCCCCCCCACCCCCGTCCCTTCCCTGCTCATGCTCTATCTCTCAAAAATAAATGTTAAAAAAAATTTTTTTTAATTACACTTGGGGTTGTTTTGATTTTCTTTTGCAATCACCTTGTAAGGGTCATTTTCATATGTAAACAAAGGAATCTCAAATAAGGAAAAGCAAAGAGACTTGTCTTGGTGCCACAGAGCAGATAGAGGTGCAGAGCAAAATGCTCAAACCCTCCATAGGTGTAGGGAGCCTGGTCTTTGGTTTTTGGTTTTAATTGTGATAAAATATACATGACATAGAACTTACTACTTTAACATTTTTAAGTGTGTAGTTCTGTGGCATTAAGTACATTCACATTGTTGTGCAACCATCACCAACTAGAAGCTCTGGTAATGGGTACAGAAACTGTATAAAATAGTAAGTCCCCATTCACCCTCCCCCAGGCCCTGGCAACCATCGTGCTCCTTGTCTCTATAAATGTCACTACTCTAGATACTTCATTGAAGTGGAATCACACGGTATTCCTCTTTTTGTGACAGGCTTATTTCACCTAGCATATCCTCAAGGTTCATCAGCATAGTAGCACATTGGAATTTCCTTCCTTTTTAAGGTTGAAAATAGTCTATGTACATATTGTTTATCCATTCATCTACTGGTAGACACCTGGACCCTTGCAGTACTTCTACCTCTTGACTATGTGAATACTGCTGCCATGAACACGAGGTACAAATATCTCCTTGAGTCTCTGCATTCAGTTCTTTCAGCAGGTATATAGCCAGAAGTGGGATTGCTACTGTGGATGGCTGGTTTTTAAAGTAAACCCATTTTTCTAGAAAAGCAGGCAGATGATAAATGTTTGGATGATAAACAACTCTCCTTACTCCATTTAAGAGGCCCCTTTGTAAGCTGCTGAATTGTGTGAATTCATTTGGGCTTCTTCACAGTTTTGATCTACTATAACACATATTTCTGAATATATGTTTTGTGTATTGTCTTGAGTTTATTTCTTGTAAAATTTTACAGCAGGACTATTTTATCATGTCTTTCAATTGAGGGCAGTAAATCCATCAATCCTGTCCTCTCTGTGTCACTGTTAGTACTTTTTCTTTAAGCTTATTTATTTATTTTGGGGGGAGAGAGAGAGAGCGTGCGTGTGTGCACACATACACACACACACACACGCACACACACACGTGAGCGGGGGAGGGACAGAGAGGGAGACAGAATCCCAAGCAGGCTCTGTGCTGTCAGCACCGAGTCAGACACTTAACTGACTGAGCCACCCAGGCGCCCCACTGTTATTATTATGACTTACCACATAGAAAGCTGTCACATGTCCCTGTAAGATGTACTACTACAGTTTGGAAATACAAATTTGAGGAATTATTTTTATTTTCTCAATCTTGCCTTAGAAAGCACGACAGCTGTAAAGTCCATATTTCCCTCAGAGCTTAAAAAACATCCAAGAAAAGTCTGAAGAAAGGCTGTTCTTTTTTTTCCCAGGAACCTTGGAGAGAATGCCATCTTGTTCAAAAACAGACTCCTCTTGACTCTAATCAGAGTGTATACCCTCAACAAGAATCATTGCTATGTATACACCATTTGGGGCAGGATTAACAGACCAGCTCTCTTACAGAATTAAAAAGACAAGATTTTCTTAGCAGCAGGATAGTAAGAGCTGTAGTGGCGCCTTCGGCCACCAGACGGCAGTCTGTCCCCAAGCAGCTCCCACTGTCCGCCAGGAAAGCTCCTTCAGGCCCATTTGTTTTGGCACTTCTGGCCTTAGCAGTATTTTTGGCGCTCTTGTTTTATTAAAATCTTAATTTTATTAAAATCTTAGTTCCAGTATTTCACAGGATGATCTTTTGTTAAATTTCACGTAAGAGAGGTATAAATAAAAGTTATTTGAAGTAAAAATTATCCCAAATAAGTCAGAGTAATTTAGACTCTTGAAAAGAATAAAATTTAGCACAAGATGCACGTTTAGAGTTCACCTCCTCCACTGGACTGTCTAGAAACAGAACGCAGTTATGCTGTTTCTCTGATGAAAAGACTTAGTGTGACTTCTCCATGTTCCCATATGAAGCACTCAGACCTTCACTAGCAACTTGCTGAGGTTTCTTAACTCTCATTTGCCCAGTACCTTCCCTCTCTAAAGCTACCTGCCCTTGCCCAAATCCTGGCCTGCCTGCCTTGTGGCCTCAATGCTCCTGACCCCTGTTGTCACAGCAGCATGAGACTAGAACAGAGTCCCCCTCAGTCTCTGATGGCTTAGTGAGGTGACTCATCAGGAGCAGACTGGGACTCGGGTACACTGTGGGACAGGATGGTGCTATGTTAGTTTGAGATTGCAGAAAGTCAGGTGTCTACACAGGGGTCAGAATTGGGCAGCTCAGTGTTCGGTGGAGTCAGTGGAGGTGGGGTCAGGGCTTAGGAGCGGGGAGGCCTGGCACTCAGGACAGGGTTGGTTCATCAGCCTTCAGTGTCACTCAGGGGAGATGGTGAGCAGGTGTCCTGTCCTCCACTCCTTGCCAGAAATACTCTGCTCCCACCTTCCCTTCTCTCCACCAGAGACTTTGTTTCCCAAACAGTTCAGCTCTTATCTCTGTGGAAAGCCTTCCTTGATCCCTCCACCCAGGCTGAGCTTGGTCTCTTCCACTCAGTAACACGAATAACTGAGCACTAATTGTATGTCCGGTACTGTGCTAGGGCCAGGTATGTAAACTCTGATGTCACGGTTTCCATCTCTGAGGAGACAGGGAGGGGAGGCTGAGTTAAGGTGACACTTGGAGTGGAGTGTGATGAAGGACAGAAATAGAGGGCTGTGTTGTGTGTTTGGGAACACAGGGTGCTTCCTGGGGATGGTGATGCTGAAACTGTGTGCCTGACCCAGAACCAGTGCTCAACAGATCTCCATTGCTAAGGACTTTTCTCCTTCCAGATAGTAACTAGCAAGAGATGAACCTGATCTAAAAGATAATTGACATGAGAGAGTTGTCCAAATAGATGTTTAATCATTTATTCTGGCTTCCCATCACTCATTTTAACCCACCTATAGATGGGTGGGCCAGATGGACCTTAATACCTGTGTTGTCCCCTTTACTTACCAATCCCTATAGGTGAGTGGGTCTGGAAGTGTGGGCCAGGACCAACCTCATCAGCATCGCGTGGGAGCTTGTTAGAAAATTCTCAGGCCTGCCCCAGACCTGCCAAAGCAGAGGCTGGGGTGGGCTCTGCATTCTGTGTGTTAACAAGCCCTCCACATGATTGGATGCATGTTCAGGCTTGGGAACTGCTACCTTCATTTTTCTGGGTTGGGAAGTTACCTTTTTGTGAGTCCAGTGGCTGTGATTCACTCTCTTGCTTCCTGCATTTCCAAAGGAAGCCTGTACAGCAGCTCCTCCGCTGTTGCCAGGAGGTGGGGAAGAGCCACTGAGGAAGGGCAGGCGTCTAGGCTAACAGTGACCTTCCCGTGGGCTCCTGTCTCAGTCCCTCAGCAGATGCCACTTGACAGCTCTTGACAGCTTCATCTGCCCCGTGTTGTGATGGTCTGTGCTGAGATTTGCAGCCAGAGCCTGCTGTGTGTGTGTTGGGTCTCAGTGAAATGAATCACCCTGAAGCACTTCCTGGTGATCACCCCAATTAATCAGGCCTCATCCTTCTGGGCACTTGATCATTCGACTTTTAATACCAGTTTAGTGGTTAAGCTGCAACTCTGGTGTCCAACCAGGCAATTAATTAGATAGCTTTTCTCCCCGGAGGTTTCAGTTTTCTGGAGTCTGGTCTCCAGCAGCTTGCCCTGGCCGGCCACGCAGCCTGCTATGGCAGCTGAACAGGTGCTGTTTTTGTCTTTGCTTTGCAGGAATGAGCTAGAACGACAGTTTCTTGAATTGCTCCAGTTCAACATCAATGTTCCTTCCAGTGTTTATGCCAAGTATTATTTTGATCTTCGTTCTCTGGCAGAAGCAAACAACCTGAGCTTTCCCTTAGAGCCCCTGAGCAGGGAGAGGGCTCACAAGCTTGAGGTAAGATGCTTCAGCATACTGGGATTTGATGCATTATTGCAGATGCATCATCTGAAGGCTATGGAAAGTATGAGGTCATTTTTCCCCACTATGTGTTAGTATACAATAAGGACGAGTTACTCTGGATTTAGAGTTGGCCAATTCATTTAGTTGATTATAATTCATACAGTCATTTTTAATAACCTTCTTAATACCAGTTTTTATTTAATGTGCATTGATTCTATTCTTGAAATGTTAAAAAAAAAAAAAAAAACAGACCCAGTTTTTTAAAAAAAATAATGTCACAAAAGAAATATTTCTCGGCATGCACTTTTATTAGGAAGAAGATACCAGGTGGCCCTAATGAGAATCCCAAAAGGTTTGATTCTGCTTTTTTTCAAAATATTTTCTCTACATCCCAGTGAGAGCTGGGGCCAGGCCCATTGGTCTTGGTCTGGATTTAGGGCCTTCACTGTTAAGCGGTATGACTTTTGTAGTTAAGCCTCATATTTGCACTAACCTCTTCCCAGCTGGCATTTTGGTTGGATGGAAAGTGGTGGGGTGATAAGAGGGATCACTGGTGAAGCCTCTCCCTCCAGAGAAGGTGTGCTGCGGCCCTCTGTACCTTCGTCCTCAGGCACTATTGTGGTCTTATTCTGTAAACCTGTGATCAAAGCAGTGGATGGTACAATCATGTCCCAAGCTTGGTGAGACCCAGGAGCGCTGTGCTGCCTGCCCCCTTGTCTAATCCGAGTGAAAAGTACAGGATCTGGTATTGAGTACCGGATCACGATGGCCAGAGCTAACAGAGTTAGCTATGAACAAAACAAGAGTCTAGAGGGAGGAGGTGAAGAGGTTATTATGGATTGCAAGCTTAACAAGGCAAAAACTTTAACTAAAATTGTAAAAAGTAAATAATATGGTATTCTCAAGAAGAAACGTAGTAAAACTATGGAAAAGACTGGATACAAAGGACCGTGTTTAAAATAAAAAGCCCGTGAGGTTTTCAGAACTCCGCCACTTTGCTGTTAATTAGTACAAGCCATTAGGATACAACTAACTGTTCATTTAGGTCTCCCATTTCTCTTGAGCAAGAAATGGAAAGCCCTTTCTCTGAAGGATATGCTCCCAGGCAAGTATAATCAGGCTTTCATGAGCACACACATGAAATAGGATTTGATTTCACGGTGAGTGGGAACCTTATTTCAGCCTCGACAGCAGGCTCTAGAAGCCCTAGTGCCCAGTGGCTCCTCTTATGCTGAGGAGAGGAGCCTGGCCTGCAGGCAAGCGAGTCTGTGGTTCTCTGAGGAATGGTGTCTAGTGTTGCACATCAGCCAAATTGTGGGCACACAGGCTGGGACTGGAGCAGTCGGTGCCTGCTGTTAATTCCTTCAGGTTGTCCAAATAGGAAGAAGGATCACTCTTCTGCTCCTGGGGCTGCCAAACCAAGTGCTTCATGGGCTCGCTGGGCGGAGGAAGCCAGCAGTCCTGACAAGACTATTTCTCTTCTCCCAAGAGTTGGAGCTTCCGAAGATGCAGGCCTTCCCTCCTCTGTGGGACTGGACAAGACACTGTCTAGAAAAAGAGTTGACATGCCTTTGAAATAATTTTTAAGAAATGAGATTTCATTATTTTCCAGACTCCAGCATCCCTATTAGTCCATCTGGTTAGCCAACCAGAACCTCTTCATGGAAAGTGAGGAGGAGTGAGACATTAGAAGTTGCTCTTACCTCAAGTTCTGTTCCTGTTCAGATGAACCACCAAATGGCTGACTTGACATGTTAGTTGCAGGGTAGAGTGTGGAAATAAGAGTGCAGCAGGAACCGAGGCAAATGCAAAGTCATCTTTTCATTAGCCTGGTCATTTCTCTTTGAAATAAATTAGTATCTGTATGCATGTAGGAGATGGGATTAAAGCTAAGAGCTTGTATAATGAAATCTAGAATAAGACAGTACATTGCAAACTCATTATTATGGTATAACATTCAGACCTGCTTACTGTTTGTAAGCTAAGAAACAACAGATGATAATCTCAAGATGTTTAAATAAATGAAAATAATTTACTTTAAAAAATCATTGCTCTAATGTTTGTAAAGAATCTGATTTCTCTTTATGTCATCTATGTTGTGTATATGAAATCTATTCCACATGAGGAACTCTCAGAGCAATAGCCCATCTCTTGCCCTCATTCATCTGTCTTGGAGGAAGACACCCTAAGCTCCCGTCTCTCTCCTCCAGTCCATTCCCCCTGCTGCCACTGGAGCTGCTCTTCTAAAGTGCACGTGTGGGTTTTTGGAAAACAAACAAGGATCAGTTTATTTTGGAGAATAAATGAGAATAAACATAGTACCCTGTGCTTCCATTACTTTGAGCATTCCCTGTTATGTGCATGCCTCTGTTATGTGCATATTTCGATTGGAACTCACACATCCATTTGACACGTATTTACACATACTCACCTAGGATCCTCTGATCCTTGACACTGAACCGTCATGAACAAAAGTGACAGACCCTGCCCTTTTGGAGTTTACATTCTGCTGGGAGGACACAGACAGTAAACATAATAAATAAACTGGCTAGTATGTTAGAAGGAGAGTAAAAGAGAAGAAAGGTGGGGGTTGCTGTGGTCAGTGGCCTCACTGAGTAGGCCATGTTTGCATGAGGACTTCAGCGTGGCCTTGCAGAACCCTCCAGGCTGAAGGAAGAGCTGCTGCAAAACGTACAGTTGGGAGCGAGCTCAGGCTAGGGTGATAGGGGTTGGAGGGGCCCACAGAGGAGGGTGGGTGAGGTGAGGAGGGAGGGGGTGTAGGGGAGGAGATTACAGAGCTAGGTAACAGGAAAGCAGGGAGAAGGGCTGGAAGGGTTATTGTCCTTCCAGTGAGAGCTGTGACGATGCGGTCAGGGTCAGCGGCTTCTGTGCCTTTGTCCGTTGACGGTGACCCCTTGGCAGGTGGGTGCTGTGTCTGCTTCCCTGGCCCCTGCATTGTCCTCGGCCTATTGCTGGACTTGTATAGAAGTTAAAGGACTTCATATTTGCATCATCACGGATGAAGTCAGCCCCACCCATGGGTCCTTTTGACAGAAGGCAAAGTAAATGTGACTGGGGCGATGTGCACCCTCAGCCCACACCCAGTAGCAGCCCTGAAGGAGCCACAACTGGGCTCTGAGCCCCTGGGACGACCTAGCCTTGCTCTTGGCTGAGGCCCTCCCGTCTGCAGTATCAGTGTCCTCATCAAGAAAGTGAGGACAGTGTGGATTGTGCATTCATTCCAGGCTGCTGCGGCCCCTCCTGGTTCCCTTCTTCTTCAGTTATGTAGAGTTGACTCAAACACCTGGTCATCTGTGTAGACTCAGTCTCAGATAAATGCCTGCTGCCAAGTATTGAGCTCTCTGCCCAGCACGGCCCAGCACGAAGCCCCAGTGCATTATGACAGCTTCGCAAGGGGGGTGCTCAAAACAGCCACATACCCGGGGTCACACCCCCTTAAGTGGTTAGTTAGCCCCGCAGGCCACACTGTCCGTAATTGTTTCCCATTTTGAGAGGATTTTCTCAAGTAGACTGTAAGCACTCTGGAGACAGGGCCTGAGTCTGCACGTCCGCTGTCGCCCCCACCGTGCCGGGCCCAGATCTGGGCACAGGACGTGAACTCCGCAGGGCAGGGCCGCCTGTCGGTGTTGTTGCTGGTCCTCTGTGTGCAGAGGGGCTGGGGGCATGGAGGGAGGGAGGGGCTGGCACTGAGGGCACGAGCCCACCCTGACCTCACTTGTCTCTCTTCTGCCCCCCAGGCCATCTCGCGCCTCTGCGAGGACAAGTACAAGGACCTGCGAAGACCCACGAGGAAGCGGTCAGCGAGTGCTGACAATCTAACTCTGCCGAGATGGTCCCCGGCCATCATCTCCTAACCGTAGGCGTCCCCACTGGAGGCCGTGCCATCCCGCAGTTTCTCCTTTAGTTTGAGAAAAGACAGACTTGGGGTGGTTTTGTTTTTGTTTTCCTTTCCTTTTCTTTCTTTTAATTCATAGCTCTGTCAGGCTGCCTTGATGACCGCCTCCAGGCTGCGTGGCCCACACGCAGCAAGGCCTCGAGGGAAGCGAAATCAGTATTCCGGAAGTCCTGTTTCATGCCTTTCCCCTCGTCATTAACAGCACTTCCCTCATGGAAGAAAAAGACTCTCATCCTGGAGAAGGAGACAAAGGGAAAGGGAAGTCGTAGAGGCAGGGAAAAGGTTAAATGGCTCGGCCATCTCTTAAGTCCCCATCTGGTCAGTAGATGATACGAGGGAAAAACACAATAGTAGGTAACAAAGTTGGATGTGCATTAAAGACAAGAGTGCAGCGTTTATCACCTCCACTTGGATCAGTATGTTCTGTAAGACTTCTCGCATTCCTTCTAGCTGCTTTTTTGGGATTTGGGGGATTTTTTGTTTGTTTTTTATTCTGTTTTGGTTTTGGTCCCACAGAGCAGAGAATATAGTTTGTACCCATCATGGCACAGACATCCAAATAAATAGTACTGGTTGTTTCTCTCTGCACTACTCCTGTGAGCTGTCTTCTGAGCTTTCTTCCTCACAAGTGCGATGCGCTTGTTACGTTTCTGTACACCTTTATTTTATACAGCTTTTCTCCAACGGTGGCAAAATTAACTTGACTGTAGTGCTGAACCAAAAGTTTCCCTTTCCCTCCTCATTTCCACACCCCAAGAAAATTCTAGATCACATGGGTGCTTGTGCCTTCCTATTTTCTTGCAGGTTTTTTTCTCTGACCTGAAGTCGTAATTACAAATCTGTCAGACTTTGTGAACTGAAGGAAACAATGTGCAGCAGAGGGTGTCCTCTGGTTGAAGAGTTTCTGGAGTGCTAGGTGTTTGCCTGAAGCTACTGAGTAGAGCCATTTCTCTGTACCCCCTGCCCAGTTCATTCCTCTACTTCCATGTCCATTGTTGCAAGCAATATTCTTCTCAATTTTTATATGTTTACTTTAAATCAAAGTTAGTCTATTTGTATAAAGTTTTTTAAAAATCTAAAATTTAAAAAAAAAAGGTGGGGGTTTGTTCCGGTGGGAAGATCATTGAATGGCAAAATGTAAACTATTAACTGAGGTATTTTTCACAGGATGATTGAATAAAAAAACTCAACTTGCATTTTCATTGTGGGTGCTTAGAGAAGTTCTACAAAATTCAAACTGTGAAGGTTTATGCTTCATTAGTTTTGACCGTACTTTTTCATTTTCTGACTATCCCTAATTTCCTTATGGGCTAGATAAGAATCTTTTATATCAAGTAAAATAAAAGGGTTAATGATAGAATATCAGAGTAAATTTGGTATTAAGTCTAAGAATCTGAGTCAGTGAAGCATATAATGCTTTGGGTTTTTGCATATTTTCCTGGGTCACAATGACAGGTTTCTAAGTTTTTTCCCGTTTCAAGTTTCTGCGAGGCAAATGGCAGCAGATACTCTATGTTTCACCTTCCTCCTATTTGAACTTTGGAAATACTTTGGAATCCTATTAGTCTTGGGTACCCTAAGGTCATACGCCTGATCCCCAGACATGCTTACTCCTGATGGAACGTACTTTGGAAATGGAAGGGATTCAGAAAATTGAAACCCCAAGATCTCCAAGCCAAAAGTGCTAGTCAGGTTTCAGTGAAATTTGTATCATGTGTAAACAACTGTTTGGACCAGAAATATTGTCAAGTTCTTTCTGGCCTAAACTTCCAAAAGCAAACAAACTGAATCTGAAAAGTTAATTATCTTTCCCTTGTAATGGTGTTGATATACTCTGTATGGGTACCAAAATTAGTTTCTCTCTTTAAGTAAGAGTTGGATTTAGAACTTTAACTAGAGATCTAAAAATGTAGGAAATATCATTTTATATTCCCTAGTCTATATAGCTTAAAAAGGGACATATTTTCTTAGCTGAATATGAATACCTCTCAAGCCTAAATTAGTTCCTCTCATGTAAAGTATCTTATTTTACTGATTCATTTCAGGAAAGAGGTTCTGCTGCCTTTAAAGCAGAAAGCTTATTTTTATCCCTTTTATTTGAATGAGAGAGATTTGAAAATTGAATTCTGTAAATATTTCAGTGCATCTATTATTTTGTGGAGTTTATTAAACTACTTTAAAAAATTGTATAGTCTATTTATTGTATGTATGTACATACAGTCTGATAACTTAAAATTTAAAGTGGATTCCGTAAAACCTGACTCAGTCTTGTTTGGATTATTGAACATTGTTTTAGCCTTGTGCACTGGACTCTACCTCTGTATAGGAAAATTTTCCATATTCATTAATAAGTATTGATCTGTATTAATTGGTTATGTTTCTTGCACTAAGGATTTTTAAAACTCTGCTATAAGTGTAGATTTTAGTTTTACTTTTGCAGTATGAATCACTTGACACATAGATACTTCAGGTTTGTTTATTTTATTTTTCTACATGATGAGGAATACTTAAATTTTGTTCTTTGGTTTGTTCTGAGTTTGCCAAAAAGAAACCCCAGCAACACCCAATACAGTACCTATTGGCAAATCATAGTGACTGTAATTTGTTTGCAAGATCATTCAATGCCCTGCAATTAAAGCTGGATTGCTATTTAGGACTACATTGTCTTAGTGTAGTTTTTGAATGGACAGTTTTCATCATTGATGGAGGATGAAGAAAACTGCACGTTTTATTGACTTTAATTTTAGATTTGACTTAAACAACAAATAAAGTCATTGGGAGAATAAGTATATCCCAGTGAATTTGTTTTAATTTGTTTTACTTTTTCTTAACTGGGAAAAGGGAAAGAAGTCAGGGATTTAAAACCAAATTGGAGGGCAAGGTGGGAGATCCTACCACGATCCGAGATGTGTTCCTATGCCTTAATGCACTAGGTGAGGCCAGTGTTAGAGCCTTGGACCCATTGTCTTGGCTCCTCTTCTGGGCTGGCTCTCCCGAGTTCCTTCTCTTGGTCTTTGGCAGGGGCATCTCCATCTTGGGGTTTCCCTTGGTTCTGGGGATTTTGACCCTCAGCTGAACTGCAAAGCAGACTTTTGGGAGTGAGCGATTTTGATCCTTTCTGGCTGCTTTTGGTAACCTCTCACCTGGGGCCATATTTTACAGCTTTGAATTTTTTAAACAATAAAATAGAATTCTTGGTTCATTGTAGGTACTTAATAAGTGTTAAATAAATAAATACATAGAACAAATAGTGCCTTCCTGCTGCATTTTTTTAAATATTATGTTGAGATAAAGTTATACAGGTTTTGTAGATGCTGAGTATGAACCTCTTTGCAAGAGCCATGGGAAAAGTGTTACTAGGTGTGGAAGTCTTGAGCAATTCACAAAAGTATCAAGCACCTCTTAGAAACCTCTAATTGAGATATTGCATGTAAAGACGTCTCAGAGCATGTCACTTTTGTGGTGATACCCTGTTTTGTATTAATGACTTTATCTCCTTTGACTTCACTGGAGTCCGCATCTCAAGACTGTGTTGGGTGGATCTTAGAGACATGGATCATCTTTTGAAAGGCCAACCAGAGAGAGCCCGTATTGTTGAAAAAGAGAAGAAAATAGAAAACATACCCTCAAGCTGAACTGGGAAAAGGATACTTGAGAAGATTTTTTAAACCATATGGGAATGCAAGGAAAGTGCTGCACACAATTTCATTAACATCATGATTTGCTGTTACTGAGTGCAGAGCCTTACTAAAGCTCCTGCATCTAAACCAGATGCTCCCCTCCCGCCCCACCCCGCCCCTGCCTCAGAACAAGTTAGGGAGCTGCAGAAGTGTGCCTGCAGTCACAGAATGGGTGATTGAGTGTACCTGACCAGTACTGCTGACTTCCTTTCCAGTTTTCCTGTTTTGATTTTCTAAGTTTGAATTTGTGAGGGTGCTGAAGGAATACTTAGTCACTTTCCATTAGAAGCTTCAAGAGTTCAGTGATGAGCACTGAAACGGACTGCTTTTATTCACATCTCTCAACTGGAAGTCTTTGGAGGGTTCTGTGTATCTGCATCATTGTGAGTCTTAGCTGTGAGCACTCAGGTGAGGATTTGTCTCGGCCGCTGTGCTGTCCATTGTAGGTCTTTGTAGAAGGCCTTCTGGAAGGACCTATGACACTAAAAAATGTGCCGTGAAATATCCCGATGGTGTTGGGAGTTTACAGATCTCTCCAAGTTTTCCTGTGTCTTTTAGTGCCTTGATACAGGTACAGGTCTTTAAGAACTTGGTTTACATAACTAAGTTATTTCAAATGCAGGGTAGTAGAAAGGCATTCCAGAATAATTCTGTGCCCTTACTTGATTGGACATGGAAAAAGAGCAACCAGCATATTGATGAGATAGGGTTCTTGCCGTACAGTGACTGAAGAGAAATGCCCCTTCCTTTGTCGGTCATTTTGACTGCAGGCGGTCTGCTCACGAGGTTAGTCAGAAGTATCAGGCACCTCCTGTCTACCAGGCATTGCACACAGTGGGGGTCTGTCGGGACTAAAATCTGGCCCCTGTCCACATAGAGCTGAATTGATTTGGTTTGGATCAGTGGTTCTGACATGCCAGAGAAAATTAGACACACATTTCATCCTGTCATGAGCATGAAAAAGAAGATCTAAACCTGCCTCTGGTAAGAGACCTGTGTGTAAGGGGCTTCTTGAACATCATTTCTTCCCACAGACATTTGTGGAGTTCTACAATCGTTCAGTGTTACAGATTGGTATTTTTTGAGCACCTTTAAGCTAATGTGATTGCTACCAAGAACACGGAGAAGAAACCACTGGAAAATAATAAGTAAGATGGCAGTTATAAGGTCACTGTACAAAAGTGATAGTTTTCCTAGTCACCAGCACTAACCAATTAGAGGAGATATGCCATTCGAAACTGCATCACGTTATAAACTCTCCAAGAACAGAAACGTTAAGTGCTTACGATGGCCACTACAGCTTAAGCATGTAGCACACTTTAATTCATTGAATGCTTATCAGTTTTAGGGTGGCTGCTGCTACGTCAGATGAGGCTGCTTAGGCTTGCAGAGGCTCAAACCTTGCTCTGGGCCCACAGTCAGAGTAGAGGAGCCAGAAAGCCTGACTCCAGAGCTTAATTTTAACCAGCCTGCTATAGGGCCTTTCACTGCCCTCATTAGGGAAGAAGACCTGTCAAGAAGTGTGTTCTAGTCTTCCCCACCCCCCAACACACACACACACACACTCATGCCATTCCAAAACCTGCAAAATGAGCTTATGGGGAAATGGAGTCTTTGTAGATATAATTAGTTAAGATGGGGTCATGTTGGATTAAGGTGGACCCTAAATCCAATGACTAGCGTCCTTATAAGGGGGGGACTTGGGGGGCACCTGGGTGGCGCAGTTGGTTAAACAACCTACTCTTGACTTTGGCTCAGGTCATGATCTGTTTTGAGATTGAGCCCCACTCTCAGCATGAAATTCTGAGATTCCTGGGATCTGGGATCCTCTCCCTCATTCTACCCCTCCTCTGCTCACACTCTCTCCCTTTTTCTCTCTCAAAATAAATAATTAAAGAGAAGGAAATTTGGACATAGAGACATAGGGAGACCTATGGACAGCATCGTGTGACAAGCGGCAAGTGTTGGAGTGAAGCAGCCACAAGCCGGGGAACGCCAAGGCTTGCGGGCAGGCTGGGGGAGGCAAGGAGAGGTCTTGATGCCAAGGCCCGATTTGAGAATTTGAGCCGCCAAAACCGTGAGAGAATCCATTTCTGTGGTAAGCCACCCAGTGCGTGGCGATGCTATGGCAGCTCTAGGAAACTGCTCCATGTCCCATTCCTACATAAAGAAAACACTACACTTTATAGGCATCACTCATTTAAGACTTCTGTTCAAAGTCATGTGTCGGACAGGTCTGCTGTGACCTCACCCCCTCAGTGGCTGCCCTCTCACGGCCCCTGCAGCACCCCCACTTTCAGCCTCGCCTGGTCGCCATCGCTCTGCTCTCCCTCCGGGTCATTTCTTCAGGGACCTCCTGGCCTTACCATGCGGCTCCAGACGGCAGCGGTCCTGTCTGTGCCCACACCTGCCCTAGGCCTCATCCTTTCCGAGGGATGGAAGGGCGTTTACAGAGTTAGAAACAAACCGAACTTGAACTGGATGCATGTGGGATCTGGATAAATAGGAAAGGAATTCCGCTCAAGAATGTTCTCTCTCTCTCCTCTCTCAACATTGCTGAGGGACAGTGTTAAGCAGGCATTACTGTCAGTAAAGATGTACGTGGAAGACTTTGGAAATCAACTAGAGAAGTTTGTACAGTGTCATTCAGTCTTTAAGTATTTGCCTTTAACGTCACTTTCTTTTCCAGAAACCTACTTACCCCTTATATTTTGGGTGCCTTCAGTTCACAAAGCTTTTGCCTTCTCTCAGCAGCCCCCTGATGTTAGTGGAGCAGATGTTGTCCCCATCGCTTTCCAGATGGGAGCTAAAGTGGAGAAAGGCTGAGCAACTCGGCAAAGATGTCATCGTCAGCCACCAAGGGGCTTCCAGTTCATGGGCTGTTGCCCCTAAAACTCCCGAGGAGGCAGCTTCCCCCTTCACGTGAACCTCCATGCGTGTTGCCCTTGGAGAAGAGACAGCTGCAGCATTTAGCCTTTTCACATAAGCTTGGCAATACCTAAAGCGTGAATAAAGGGCTTGCTATTTTTATGGCTGCTAAGTATAGATAACATGCAGATGGTGGGTCTGGCCTGTTCATAGGCATTTTGCAGAAACCTAGGAGTTGCTATTTCCAAGCTGCTGCTGGGCCCACCAGTGATATCTTTTCCCATCAGGTTTTAATTCATGTGCTGTAGACAATCTGGCCACCAACTGGCTCCTCGGGGTGCGGCCCCTCCTTTGGCACGTGTGGGTCTTGCTGGACTGTGGTTTTATTTTTCTGTACTTGTGATTTCTCATTTTTAAGTTTAAGGCACATTTTCTAGCTCAAAATAATGCCCAGCCTCTGATTTTCACTGGCTGCCTTAGCGTGGATTGTTCTTCCTCAATCCTCATGTCTTAGCTCAAAAAGTCCTACATAAGTGACCGTCTGCCACCTCATCTAAGGCAGAACTTATCCTCACCTTCCACCCAACACTCATGTTACCCTCCTGGTTTTACTTCTTTAATGGCACATCACTGTCTGAGACCGTCAGCTTATTTGGGGTTTCGGTTGCCTGCCTCTCTGCCACTCGCATCTGCAACAGAAAGCTGAATTTACTGCACTCTGAGGGAGGGGCAGCTGTGAGGCAGTCTCTGAGCCAAGTAGATCTCATAGAGGGTGCTGGAGAGCATGACGCTTGGGGATTTCAGTTCCCAGAGCATTTAGGGCTTGACTGGTCTTTACCTGTGGAGGTGTGTTTATTTAAGTGAGGCTGGGGCGGACTGCCTGGCCCTGGCTGCTGATGTGTAGTTCTTTTTCAAGTGAGTATGGGTGTAAACCAGTTCTGATAGTTACTCTGTGGCCAAATAACCACCATTCTGCCCGAATGGATAGAAACTTTTACCCCACCCCGACCCCCATCAGCTCTCTGAAACCAAGGACATTCTGTCTTGTTCACCACTGTATCCCCAGACTTAGCAAGTGCCCAATCTATATTCAGTAAATATTGTTGAATGGATGAGTGAATGGAACATCTTAATGGAGAACTGGCCTCAGCTTCCCCTATGCTGGGAGAGTCTATGAGATCTGAACTTCTAAGGATTGAATGAAGAAGATGAAAGATAGAGTACGTGTTACTCTGGCTCTAGA